ACTGTGGGTCCGCCGCTTTGAGTACGAGGAACATGGGCCTTTCTTCCTCTACAGAAGGTGCTTCTGAACGGCGATGAGGATGGCCGCTGCACTGGCAGTGCATGCCCTTGGCTGGGTGAGCACGCTCCTACACAGAGCAGGGGGAGCCGGGCTTATTCCTGTAACATTAAACATTCCTCACATGCCCCTCCACAGTGTTTCTCTGCTTTCTGACCTAGTAAGAACAACTTCACACAAGCCGCATCTGACTTAAAATATACATTTCCCAAAACAAAAGCAAGAGTAGGGGAAGGATGAACAAAAAAGGACATGCATTGTACGCGGATGCTTAAACGTTCACTTGCTCTAAAAGTATGCTGCCCCTTATTTTGTGCATTTCTCACTTTCGGAACTACTTTAAGGTTAAACTCTGCTTGGAAGGGGGAGTGCAATGAAGATTACAGGGTAAATGCTGTTGGGGCATATAAGCAGTTCCCTTTCCGTAAATGCCAACAGGAAATATGCTGTAACAGGGCAATCTCCCACAAAGCATCAGTGTCCACTTCACACTTCATCAGCAACCCTGAGGGCTTGGAAAGAGCTGGCAAAGCTGTCTGAGTCCTTTTTAACAGGAGTTTATTTTAGTTCCAACAGTCCATTTATGTCTCAATACCAGTTCTTACTAAGCCAACACAGTGATGGGCTGCCGAAGCCTAGCATATTACAAGCAAGGCGTATGTAGGTGCCTTAAAGGGCAACTCTTCAGAGAACAAGTGCTATACAGATTTCCCTTTTTTTTTTTTTGAGACAGAGTCTTGCTCTGTCTCCAGGCGCCAGGCTGGAGTGCAGTGGCGCGATCTCAGCCCACTGCAACCTCCGCCTCCCGGGTTCAAGCAATTCTCCTGCCTTAGCCTCCCAAGTAGCTGGGACTATAGCCATGCACCACCACGCCCAGCTAATTTTTGTATTTTTTAGTACAGATGGGGTTTCACCATGTTGGCCAGATCTCTTGACCTCATGATCTGTCCGACTTGGCCTCCCAAAGTGCTGGGATTACAGATTTCCCTTTTTAAAAACTGAAGTAAGGTTTATCTTGGGTTATCACTAGAGGTTAGGGATTGAAGCCACAGTCATTCTCTAGACACTTCATCTCCCAGCTGACTGGATTCTCCATTAGCCTATAACACACACAGTTGGAGTGTGGGATGTGCTCAGGATAGAGGCTGCTGGTTCTGCGGCTGATGGTGTGGGTCTATGGGAGGCTGCCCTATGTGGGTCATTCTAACCCAGCTGGGGAATGGGAGCCCAAAGGAATACAGAGACTCTTAGTAGCCAGGAAGCCCTTCCAGGGCCCAGCAAGCTCCACGGTGATTCTGCAGGGGGAGTCTGTAATATGAGCACTTTAAATTGGAGATTCTTTAGAACAGCCCCCAATACACTCTCTGTCCTGTCTTTAAAGTTCAGAATCTGAACACTAGTGGGTGCATACAATAGTGAACAGAACATGGGCTCTGGACTTTGGGGTATGAAACGCTATTTTGCTACCCCCAAGCTGTGTGACTTGAGTTTGTTTGCTTGCCGGCAAAACTGGGTATGAATGCCTACCTCACACAGCTCATTTTAAAAACAGTGAAAAACATCTGAATGCCAGTATCTAGACTCCTGGAGGTGCTCACAATAGCTAGCTAGTATCTTTAGGTTTCTTCCTCTTATACAGAAGGCCAAAGTCTCTTACTATAGTCCTTAGTCACACAGGCACTCAAAGGCACATTCTGTTGGCACCTCAGCCATCTCCAAGGAGAAGCCCTCCAGAGCCACTCTCACAGATTCCAGGTTTGCCTAGACAGCCTTGAAAGGCCTAAAGCGCCTGACCCTGGAACCAGGTCTGGTGAGTAAGAGTACCTGGCTGGCACCAGCAAAGAGAGAGCCACAGAGGGGCATGTGAGGATGCTATGGTTCAGCAAGGATGACTAAGTCTTATGCTGGACTGTCAAGGAATCAGGAGTTGGGTACACTGACCTGAGAGAGAGGGACATCTTTACCTCAGTTTCTGCCCAAACCGTTCTGCTGTCAACACTCCATGATCATTTACTGAGGGGCAAGTTGAAGTCTGATTAGTTCTTAACCTTTGGACCTCTCTGGCAGGATGGTAAACCCATGAACCTCTTCTTAGAATCATGTTTCAAAATGCGTAAAATAAAATGCATGATTACAGAGGAAACCTATCATATAGAAATACGCTCTATCTACTGATCCCTTAGGGGTATATGAACCCCACATCAAAGATCCCTAAAACGGAAAGGGTCTTAATGAAGAGGATTGAAAGGTGGTTCTGGAGGATGGACGTCTCCAGACGTTCCTGGGCCTCAATGTTTATTTTTAAACAAAAAATATCAATTGAAGGCTGAGCAACTGTGCAGTCTTTTTCAAAGCACTTTAAGAATTTTCTCACTTGATCCTCACAAGTATGCCCTAGTAGAAAAACAGAATCTCCTCTTAAAAAAAGATAGTTTTACTAAATATTTGGAAGTTAACATAGTTCTCAAGTGGGGGCCACTTTGGCCTGTAGGGGATATTTAACAGTGTCTAAAGATATTTGTAATTCTCATCACAGGAGTGGGAGTGTGTACTACTAGCATCTAGGGGTAAGAGGCTAGGGAAGTTGTTAAAAATCTTATGATGTGCAGGGCAGCACCTCCCAACACCCAAAGAAAGAATGATATGAACCAAAATGTTAACAGTGCCATTGAGAAACTCTGATTAGCTTGATGGGCACACACAAGACTGAAGGAAAGCAAGGCTCAGTGAGATTGATTTTGCCCAAGAATGCTAAGATGGTTGGACACATGGCCCAAAGCCTTGTTCTTTCCTTTATACCAGGAAGACAACTGTTGTTCTTAAAGGTTCTGGGACTTTAGAGCCAGTAATAGAGGTGGAGCAGCTCACTGCAGGCACAGGCAAGGACTCAGGGAGCACAGAGAACACAAGAACACATGAATCCAAAGCAGGCCTTCAGCACTGCTAAATGTTACCAAATTAGCCTTGTCTTATCTATGGCCTCGTGAATATTTACAGCTACCTAGCTCCTAAGATGTTTATTCTCACCCAATTACTAATAAACATGACAGACACGAGAGAACAGCCAAAGACGCCTAAGGGCTTGTCCAGGTGGTGCTTCTAGAGGACATGGAAGTACAATAACCAACAAAAGAGGAAGAACAAATCTAATTTTGCTTCTGAAATTTGCAGTCACCTTAAGTTACTAAGCATTGTCAGTTTTACTTATTTTTAAAAACACCCTTTTCATTTATTGCTATGACAAATCTCTCAAATGTATATGCATATACATGCATATATAATTAAATTTAAAATATGCAGCAGGGCTAAGAAGTTATGCCAAGCTACATCCATAACAGCATACTAAAAAAATTAAAATTGTTCCTGCTCAGTTTTTTGTTTTTTAGACAAGTCTCACTCTTGTTGCCCAGGCTAGAGTGCAGTGGCATGATCTTGGCTCACTGCAACCTCCGCCTTCCTGGTTTCAAGCGATTCTCCTGCCTCAGCCTCCTGAGTAGCTAGGATAACAAGTGCCTGCCACCATGCGCTGCTATTTTGTGTGTGTATGTTTTTAGTAGACACAGGGTTTCACCATGTTGGCCAGGCTGGTCTCAAACTCCTGACCTCGTGATCCACCCACCTCAATCTCCCAAAGTGCTGGGGTTACAGGCATGAGCCATTGTGCCTGGCCTCAGTTTTTTACAAAGCATTAATTTAAAATGGACTTTGACTAAAGAAGACCGTCTCCTGCAAGTTCCCTCTGAAGTTTAGAGCATCTGAGCAAAGCTATCTGACTCAATGGAACGAAGAAAAGTGAAGGTTTTAGCTTATTGCAGCATGAACTTGCTTTGGGATAGAGTCCAAATTTATGTACTCTTTTCTAAGGCTTGACAGAATCTTTCCCCAAAATGAACCATTCATCACTCAGAGGAGTTTTCTCCTTTTCTCATACACTCCATTTTCCCCCATGAATTCTTCTTGGCTTTGCCTCAATTTGGAAGGTCTCTTCCTGCTTCCTTCTTCTGAAAATGAACAAAATCCAATCCTGCTCAGATGAAAGAAACAGTAATTAATAGCAATTTGCACTCAAACAAATTATGTCTTGCTGCTTCAATACATTATTTAAGGAAACTGAATGTCCATGAAAATTCACACCATTATCAATAGACACATTTACTTCTATTTCCAATCTATCAGCATGGGTCCCATTACAATTACCCAAAGCAAGAGCACTATAATATATTTAAATACCATATAAGTTACCATGCTTATTTACTTATGCCAATGAGTAGTTACAAAGTACTTGCAGCCTTTCAATACTGGGCACTTAATTACAGCAAATCTATTAGGAGTATAAGTCAAAAAGTAGCTTTCTCCAAAGCAAAGTATATCTTCTTCCTCTTCTTTTAAAAAAATCCTATTATTTTGTGAAAATGTTCGAACATACAGAAAAGCTGTATTACACAGTGAATACCCCCAGACTGATTCTATAGTTAACATCTTGCTATACTGGGAAAGGCTTCAAAATTACAATTTGGGCTATATCAATTCTTTGAGGATCAAAAGTAGCATTTCCTGTTAGTTTATGTACAATGCTATAGTTTGGGCATTTGTTTCCCTAAACCTCATGTTGAAATGTGATCCCCAATGTTTTTGAAGTAGGGCCTAATGGGAGGTGTTTTGGTCACAGAGGCAGATCCTATGTGAATGGCTTGGTGCCAGCCTCATGGTAATGAGTGAGTTTTCACTCATTAGTTCCTTTGAAAGCTGGTTGTTATTATAGAGACACAAATGGACTAAAATATATAGTAAGGAAGGTCTGGTTCTGATATTTAAAATACGAAAGAATTTTTAACCTTACCCAAGAATTAGCCACACAACTGTTATCAGAATTAACTGGGCGTTTTCTAGACTCACCATAAAAAGAAAATATTCTCATTTTGAGAGTTTTTTTTTTTGGGTGGGGGGGGTGGAGAACTGTATAAAAGACAGGTAAGTACTACAAAGAAAAATAAATGAAGTGAACTAGACTAACAAAAATATCTGAGTTAAAGAAAGCAGTATTTGGAGAACAGAGAAGAATTCACAACCATGCATGCCATACAATGCACACTGATCACTCACACCAAATGTGCATGATACTGTTTAGAAATTCTAATCTGTTCAAGCTCTAACACTGCTAACTCTCTAACAGAAAATACACAGGCAGTAAAACAGTCCCTATAGGCATTGTAATTATAGGAGGCTCAGCCCAGTTATAACTGAAAGCATATGACCTAGTATGGTGTTACAGAATAACAGCTGTTAGCAAAAGAGGGCTTATAATTTCAAAGGATGCTTTTTATTTTGCTTTAGTTTAAGGTGACAAGAAGCCATTTAAGTGTGATTACATTTGACCAAATGTAGCAATAATAGCCATTGTAATCTTCTCCTCCAATAAAAAAAGACAATTTACAAACATTACTTGTCTTCGCACTTTTGAGGTAGAAACCGTGAAACATTATTTCCAATTAATCGATGAAGAACAGAGGCACAAATCAATTACTGTGACTTGTCCAAGGTCCCAATTTGAATCAGACCTGTAGCTGGGAAGGAAACCCAATCTCATGATTACCATAATTATGCTCTCAAACAGCCCAAGCGAAAGACCAACAATTCTCACAAAATGATGCTATACTGGTTAAGCAAGACATTAGCAAGCTTAATGTCTTCCTAATGATTAAGATGCATACACAAAATAAAATAAATAGAATTGCTTGCTGTCGGTCTGGTGCACACAGCCGTTCTTGGCAATGCTAAGGTAAGTTACCATCTTACTCTTTCCAGTTCTCAGTACCCAGGCCTCAAAAAGCAAGTGGTGATACGACAACAGGAATGAATGGAAATGGTCTTCTCTGTCGGAGCCCTCCTAACTGCGGTCACTCAGTCTAGCAGGCTCAGCTTCCACTGAGTTCTTTTGTTGATCTTTGGTGGTATAAAAAGTTCAGCATCTAAAAGTAAGAAAGGAAGGGAAATTGTGACAGACATACTCTTGGTGGGAGCTGAGGCAGTAACTCTAAACTAAACAAACAAGGCAGGTGGGGTTTGCAGCAACAAAACCATCAGAGCCAGAGTCCGTGTGTCTACTACCCCTGCAACCTCCAGGTCAGAGCAAACACAGCCTGGAGGCCCTGCCCTGAAAGGAGGGACTGGCATTTCAACCTCAGGCATGCTCAACCAGTGATTCAAAGTGGAAGAATGTTCCGTATTTCAAACTGGGGGGAGGGGAGGGGTAGTGGCAGCAGTTACATGGCTGTATACATTTATTAAAACTCATCAAATTGTACATCTGAAATCTCTGCATTTCACTATATGTAAAGTCTACTCGTTTTTCAAGGAATAGCAAAATGTAGTAGCACATATTCAGTTAAGTGAAGTTAATGGACAGAAACTACTTTATGATGAAACTTTGACAAACATGTTGATCAATTAAGATGCCCCTGCTTAAAAAAAAAGTAAATGCAGAGAGAAGGTTAGGAAAAGATTCTGCCATTGTAAACTAAAATTCCCAGGCACTCTTTCACTTACATTTGTTAAGTTTCTTTTCTAACCAGGAATCATATACAGGAAGAAGTGATATGAGAATTTATGGATATATATAAGGATTTTCTTTTTCAGCATTATTTATGATAAACTTCCAGCAGTAAATCTATACATATGAGTTATATAGACATTAAAAATTACAGTTGATCCTTAAATGTGGGTGTGGTCTCCCGCTGCACAGTCAAAAATCTGCATATACCTTTTTCTTTCTTTCTTTTTTTGAGACAGGGTCTCGTTCTATTGCCCAGGCTGGAGTACAGTGGCATAATCATGGCTCACTGTAGCCCCAACCTCCCGGGGTCAAGTGATTCTCCTGCCTCAGTCTCCCAAGTAGCTGGGATTACAAGTGTGCACCACCATATCTGGCTAATTTTTGTAGAGACGAAGTTTCACCATGCTGCCCAGGCTGGTCTCAAAACTCCTGGTCTCGTTCTGCCCTCCTCAGCCTCCCAAAGCGCTGGGATTACAAGTGTAAGCCACCACACCCGGCCCCATGCTTAACTTTTGTATCTCCAAAACTCAAGTACTAATGGCTTACTGTTGTCTGATAGCCGTATTGGCAACATAAAAAGTCAATTAACAAATGTTTTCTATGTTATATGTACTACATATACATAAAGTAAGCTAGAAAAAATTCTAAGAAAATTAAAAAGAAATCAATATTTACTATTTATTAAGTGGAAGTAGGTCATCATAAAGGTCTTCATCTTTGTCTTCTTCACACTGAGTAGGCTGAGGTGGAAGAGGAAGAAGTGGAGGGGTTGGTCTTGCTGACTCAGGGGTGGTAGAGATGAAACAGGCAAGGGAGGTTAAAGAGGAGGCAAGACAGTTGCGCACACTCAGTGTCACTAACTTTACAGAAACACACCATAATTTGTGACGTTTCTGCTCTTTCATTTCTCTAAGGTATCAATCCTTCCACAGTTTCTTTCAGTATCAGTACCCATATCATAGAAGCTTCCATGGTGTCAAAGAAGCCAAAGGCAGTCTTGAATGACTGGAACCTTCGGAACGTATGTCAATCTATTTTCAGGCACTGCTTCTTCTATGTCATCTTCCTCATCGTCTGGCACTGGTTTGGAAGCACTCATTGCCATCAAGTCATCTTCTGTTAATCCCTCTGGTGTGGTGTCAATCACCTCTTGAATTTCTCCAAGATCCCTATCTTGAAATACTGCATGAACGTTTTTGTTTTTTTTTTTTTTCCCAAGATCCACAATCTCTTTCATAATTTCCTTGACTAGCTGTGGTAAATCCTATGAAGACATGCACATCTGGACACAGTTTTCTCTAGTAGGAATTTATTGTCTTGGGCTTGATGGCTTTCACAGCTTTTTCTATAATGATGATGGCATCTTTGATGGTGTAATTCTTCCAGACTTCCATGTTCTATCAGAGTCCAAGACATTTGATAACCCTTTCCAAAGAGTACTGTTTGTAATGAGCCCTAAAAGTCCTTATGACCCCCTCATCTAGAGGCTGAATTAGAGATGTTGTGTTTGGGGACAAGTAGATCACTTCAACGTCTTCGGTGTTGAACTCATGGGGTTTTGGGTGGCCTGAGGCATTCTCCACTATCAAAATAACTTTATTTATTTTTAATTTTAATTTTAATTTTTCACTTCTCCATTGTTCCTGTAGGTAGGTTCAAAATAACTTTAAAAGGCAGTCCCCTTACTGGCAAGATACTTCTTAACTTCAGGGACAAATCAACAATGGAACCAATCCAGAAAAAGTGTTCTCCTCGTCCAGGCCTCTTGTTGTACGGTACAACCAAAAGCCTGGCAGCTTTTATTAATCTTTTCCCTTCCAGGCTCAGGGGTTAGCAGCTTTATAGTAAGGGCAGTCCTGATCATAAACCCAACTGCCGTTGCTGCTGCCTCTGGGTTGGCAGGAGCTGCTTTTCCTGTTATCTTGACATTTATAAAGCCAAACCTCTTTCTAAAATTATCAAACCATCCTTTGCTGGCATTAAATTCTCCAGCTTTAGATCTTTCACCTCCTTGCTTTAAGTTCTCATACAATGACTGCTTTTTCTGGAATCATATTAGTTTTATAGGTATGCCTTTCCCACAGCAATCCTGTACCCACATAAAAGCTGCATTTTCAATACAAGATAAAAAGGTATTTTGCAAGAAGAACAAGGTTTTCATGCCTGCTGACATAGCTGCAGTGACAGCTTCATGAATTTCCTTTTCTTTTATAATGGTTCTTATACTGGATTCATTTATCGTGAAATGTGGGCAACCACAGCTGCAGACCTCAATCTTTAGTATATATCGAGCAAGTCAACTTTTTCTTGTAATGTCTTATAATGTTATAACTTTTCTCTGCTTCCTGAAGCATCATGTGTGGTACTTCCTATAGGTCCCATGGTGTTATTTAAGGTTTATGATATTACACTAAACATGATAAAAGTACACAAAAATGCAACAGATCACTTTTTGCTGCCATATGCAATTACTCGAGACTCTCAGGTGCTGCTCATGTGGAGATGATTAGTGTCATGTGGCATTTTAAGCAGACACTGGTAATACTTGAGCTCACCCAACACAATAGCAACAGGCAGTAGCTACAAAATTATTACAGTAGTGCACTATGTACTACAGTTAATTTTATGCAGTTATGATTTAATACTACATCTTTGTTTGTTTACATTTCTTGCCACTACATGGTGCCATAAAGATTAAGAATATCAATACTGGAAAAAGGCTACTTAAATAAATTCGCAGTCAACAAGGTCCATAATTTCTTAAGTAGTTACTTATGTTGGAATGAGACTTTATCTTTAAAAAACTAGTTATGAAAATAATGTGCTGTATCTCATTTTTTAAAATTGGGCACAACCACAACTATATTTGATTATAGACTTAACTTGAAATAAACATGAGGTATAGACTTTTGGGCAAGAAAGTAATTATTCTGACAAATATGACAGCAGGACATATTTCACATTTCTATATTTGAATTTCACAGCACAAAAAAAGTCATTGTTATAAAAATAACTTGAGGGCTTCTCAATTTTTCTAAGGACCTCTCTCAATCCTTTGATAGTCAAAATCTGAAGCACTTTTTTTGTCACCAGTTGCAACAAGTCCAGCTCAGCTGTGATTCAAGTACTTTTCCAATATCACTTTAATCTATTTTACGTAATACTAAATTTTTGTAAGACTTGCAATTGATCTACATGATAACTGTATTGCATCAAAGCATGAAACAATCAGAAAATGATCCATCGAGTCACTGATTTCACTTGTGGGGATGTGTGAATATAGTTAACTACTGTTAGCTGAAGAGGGGCAACTGAGTAATATATGAGTGGGACTAATTTTGTGATTAGTTCATCAGTGGCAATTTTTGAATTATAGGAACTTCCCTTTTCCTATACAGTACAGCCTTGAAGCCACAAGGATAATGATGATAAACGCTCAGATAATGAGGGGCTCTCAAATATTACAGTGTCTTTAATGTTCAGCTGGAAAACAAGAAAGTGCTGTTTGAAGTGGGAAAGCCATCTAGAATACCCCAGGGAATGGTGGGACTGACCTGACCTGAAGGTCAGCATCAGGCCAGCAACAAGGAACGGAGGGGGCAGAAATCACAACCAGATAGCACTACAGCACAAAATAAGCAGTGACCAAAAGGCTTCCGGTCCAATGTAAGTTCCTAGCATCTGAGAAATAAGTGGGCCAGGCACAGGGTCACATGCCTGGAATCCCAGCAATTTGGAAGGCTGAGGCAGGAGGATCGCTTGAGGCCAGGAGTTTGAGACCAGCCTGCGCAACATAATAAGATCCCCCTCTGTGTTTTGAAAAAATAAAAAATTTAACAACAAAAAAGGAGTAAGTGGATGTGTTGGAATTGATACCAAAAGTACCTTGCCATTCTCCAGACAGAAGAGGAGCTAGGAATGCAGTAGTTACTGTCTGGATGGAGTTTGGCTGGGAGGGAAGGTAGCTGTTCTTTTCTGGTAGCAACACAAGCTGTTAAAGTCAAACTTAATTTGAATCCCCACAGGCTACTTCAAATATCATCAAAATGCTATTACAGTGTAGCACTTCAGTGAAAAAAAATTTCAGAAAGTTGCCTGTCATATGCTAGAAATGCAAATAACAGCAGTTGAAACTGCCAATTATTTTAGAAACTATCACTAACTTTTCAAAGCTAAGATGCTTGATTGATCCAACTGTAAGTAAGGGCAAATACTCAAAGTGCCACGTTGAACCATCAAATGTTTCTAAACAACTTTCAAAAGAAAGCGTTTAGGGTTTTCAACTTTTTGAGATGTAAGTAATCCAAGAATCTTCTCCCCTCAATAAATAAAACATTTCATGCATAACGAAAGAGGAAATATGGATAAAATGCTAATATTCTTTGGATTTGCCTTGGAATTATATTGCCACTCTTAAACATAATAAAAAGGTCCCACTCATAAGCAAGGTTTATGAAAACATTCCCAAGATGCAAGGCGTAACTACCAATAGCCAATAATGATGCTACAGAAGAATCTTGAAATGTATATTTCAATGTATATGTAAACGTAGATGGTTTAGACTGAAACTGGAACCGTGATGTGCTTTTATGAGCAACTGTGTGCCACTGTCAGTATATTTTTTAAAATTACACATACAGTGGTCATCTTGATTTTTCCTGCACCAGGCCCTCCACTGCTAGAAGCATGAAATTGATCATACTACAGATGCGGTCTAAGAACTGAGGAAAATTTGTAGACAAATTCTGTAATGGAAAACTGTATCCAATCTCTCCTTATACTGCTGACCTCAATACTTACAGAAAGATATTCCTTCTGCTTAGTATTGTAATATTAAATGAGAAGAAATACTAACCAAGAACAGGAACTGAAGTCTTCTGTTGTTGATAAGAAGCCATGATGCTATTTGCAGTAGAATTGGGACCTAGAACCTAAGGAGAAAACAGTTTGTATCAGCATAGAGTATCTAATACTTCTCAAGACTGCCAATACCAAACGCCAAATCCCTACCAGCAGGAAACAGCCTGTCATTTCTACTGGTATGGTGTGAAACACAGTAACTCTCTTTCCCAATGTGATTTTAATTTGCCAGTTGCAACTCAGACCTCTAGTTCTCCTTTCCCCCAGAACAAGGTAAAGATGGTGGGTCAGGGGGAAGAAAAGAAACTCTACAATGATATATCCTGGCCTTTTCCAAATGAGCAAGCCACTCCCTGAGGAGAGAGAAAATAGTAAAAGAGGCTATAAATACATAGAGAATCAATTATACTCAAAGAGTTGTGGGAAACGAACATCTTTAGACTGAAACAAATACAAATATGTGCATACTATGGAGTGGAGTGCAAACTCTGCACATGTGCTCCGAGTAAAACACTAGACTTCACAGGAATTTCAAGCCTACAGAGAGCCTCTGGGCACACACTCCTGGTTAGTGCAGTCCCTTGGTGGTACACTCTCAAGAGCAACGCCATGAGAAGTCAGTCATGGTATTCTGCACATACTACAACCATACTTCACCAATCAGAGCAAAACCACAACCATAAAATTGATGTCTTAGAACTTAATGTGGGAGGCACAGAGGCTCACACCTGTAACCTCAGCACTTTGGGAGGCCAAGGGAGATCACTTGAGGTCAGGAGTTCAAGACCAACCTGGGCAACACAGCAAGACTCCCCCTCCCCATGTCTATTAAAAAAAAAAAACCTTAAAATTAGCTGGGCCTGGTGGTGTGCACCCGTGGTCCCAATTACTCAGGAGGCTGAGGTGGGAAGACTGCTTTAGCCCAGGTATTTGAGGCTGCAGAAAGCCATGATTGATCATACCACCACTGCACTCTAGCCTGGGTAACAGACCAAGAAAAAAAAAAAAAAAGAACTTAATATGATCACGTGATCAGAAGAGAAGAGGGGAGGTGATGGCATGGGGATGGTTTATTATCTTCAAGCCAGGTGCGGTGGTTCATGCCTGTAGTCCCAGCACTTTGGGAGGCTGAGGTGGGCAGATTGCTTGAGTCCAGGAGTTCAAGATACTATGGGCAACATAGTGACACCCTGTCTCTACAGAAAATTTGAAAATTAGCCAGTTGTTATAGCACGCAGCAGTATTCCCAGCTACTTAAGAGGCTGAAGTGGGGGAGGATCACCTGAGCCCAAGGAGGTTGAAGCTGCAGTGAGCAGTGATCGCTGTACTTCAGCCTGAGCAACAGAGTGAGACTCTGTCTCAAAAACCAAAAATAATTATCTTCAAAAGTACTATAGTTTTGAAGATGATGATCACATTTCTTCTAAGAAATACCTATTATAATAAATTCAAGAAGTTGTGGGGGCACAGTTAGACTAGGACTCAGGATCAAGAAACACACACAAACCCGTACAACCATTTGGAAACTGAACATCCTGTTTCTGAGTGTCGACTGGAAACGCTGTCTCAAAAAAAAAGAAATACTAGACTTCCATAGAATCAACCCAAATGCCCATCAATGATAGACTGGACAAAGAAAATGTGATACATATACACCATGGAATACTACGCAGCCATAAAAAACGAGTTTGTTTCCTTTGTAGGGACTTGGATGAATCTGGAAACCATCATTCTCAGCAAACTAACACAAGAACAGAAAGCCAAATACCATATGTTCTCACTCATAGGTGGGTGTTGAACAACGAGAACATGTGGACTCAGGGAGAGGAGCATCACACACTGGGGGCCGTTGAAGAGGGTAGGGAGAGACAGCGGGGTGTGGGGAGGGCAGGGAGGGATAACATGGGGAGAAATGCCAGATATAATATGCACCTAAAGTAAATAAATTAATTTAAAAAATAAATAAATAAATAAATAAAATTTAAAAAAAGAAGTTGTGGGGTCGTGACTTCTAGTTGCTTTTATTTCTATGGTTTGTAAAGTGCTTTTACATTCCTTCTCTTATTTAATCTTCAAAACATTCTACTGAAGCACACAGGGAAGTCTTACGGCTATTTCTAACTGAGGAAATCAAGACACGATAAGCATCTGTGTTTCTAAACAGTGAGCTGATTTGTAATCTCTCAGCTCCAACCCCCCCTTCTGTCCACTGCTTATGATGCTGGGGCTGGGCACCTGAAAGACATTCCTCCTTGCCGCTGGCTTCCCACCACGTCCTGCCTACAGTGAATACCAGAGGCAGAGTACAAGGCTGGAGGAAGAACAAAAGATTTATTCTTTGACTGAGTGGCTTTTACCCCAGCAGCAGCTGTTTCTTCCAGTTTCCATTTCCTTCTGTACGCCTGGAACCAGCCTCATCATGCCCCCTGTGAAATGCCGGGACTAGCTGGCTGGCACCCTTCTCTCAGAGGTTCAAGAGCCAGCTCTGCAGGGCCTACCTCCAGGGTTCTAAATGCTAATAATCCCTAACTCCTTCTGTTCCCTCACCTGGAGGGATAAAGCTGCTTCCTATAGTTACTATCTAATGTCCTTCCTCTGTATTTCCCTTTTGCCTTGTTTAGTCCTCTAACACTTACTTAACCAATCCATATATTAAATTCTGTGATAAAATAATAGGTACGACTTTTGCTTTCCTTTCTGGATCTTGATTGATATATCAGCCTTTTTGAATTCAAATCAAACTCTTAACAATAGACTTGAGGTATAAGAGGGTGAACAGAGATATAAAAAGTAAACAGATGGCAATACATTAGAATTCTGCGATACAGACCTGATTCAGCCTAAACATAACTAGCAAAGTCCATCATAACAACAGAGAAGTGACAAGTCAAATATTTCATAAAACAAAAGGAAAAGCATTTGCCTGGAGTCCCTTTAAAGCCTGATCCTATCCATGAGTTCTGAAATGGAAAGTGACAGGCCATCTCTGATCCCATCTCCCCCCGCGACTGCCCGCCACTCCAACCTCACTGAAGGCCAGGAGCAACCACATGACATTCCCATTTTCTCCATGACAGCTGCTCCATCCAGAAAGGAAAATAATAGCTCATTTAACCTACGCCAAGGTTTACTAATCACTCTACAGGCAATATGAAATTTTACTGACAGCTTCAACACAAATCTAAGATAATTTAACTATGGCATCTTACGTTTTAAGAACAAGAAAACTTTTTGACTTGGGGACTGTGTGATAATAACCCATTAAAATGATGAAAAAATGCACACTGTTTTTGAGAAGACTTACGGGGGTAGCTGAATTCTGCTGGTAGGTAAGAGTCCAAATTTCTGGAATTGACCTTTCTATCAACTGCAGTATATCTTCAAAGGCCTTCTGTAATTCCCTTCCTTGTTCATCAAACTCAAAGAGAAAGAGTACCTTTAAAATATGGTATACTTCATCTAGAGAGAAGAAATTTGAAAAGTGGAAAGTTACGTTCCCAGCTCCATTGACAGAATCATACCATAGCTTCTCTCCCAAGCAAAAAATGTCTGTAATTCCCACTGTAGGTCCTTTCTCCCACATTATCTTTTTTCTTCCCAAATGCTGGAATAATTAAACACATGTACTATGAAAAGAAAATCAAGCACACTGGGTCCCAAGCAGACAGCAGTGTCCCACAAGCCTTTATCCTTGCTTAAGCATCTGTCACAGTTCAGTCAGGGGGATGCCAAATGGAGGAGGCCTTCTCAGTTACCAGCTAAGAAGGGCTGCTTCAGGAATGTGTGCTGACATGACACTTCTGGCCAAAAGTTCTCATCTTTCCTCATATTGGGAAAATTGTAGCTTCATCATCTACTGAATGAACTCTGCCTGTCTGTGCTGCCTGTTTACTATTGCATGTGGTCAGGAATCATCAGCAGGACTGATAAAATACCTTTCCGGTTTTCAGCGTTCTGCACCACTTCACTCAGTGCCTCCAGGAGGGCCAGGTCCTCCAGCGGACTGCCTTCTTTGAGACTGTGCTTCTTCCGCTCCGCTTTTCGGCGATTCTTAGATGATCTCCTGTTAGAAATTACACAGATATTTTTAAGCCTCCTGCATAGCTGGGACTATAGGCATGTGCTACCTTGCCTGGCTACTTTCTTGTAGTTTCTGATCACCCGACACTACTTCACAGATCTCCATTTTAAATTCTGACAGTGTAATTCAGTTTAAATATATACTCTTGCATTGTTTTACATATCCCAAAGCAAGAATAAGCTCTTATAATTCCTATCTCCTTGTAAGTTTTTGGTAACATCTACTGTACCTACCATGTGGGTTTTCAATAAATATTTCTGAGAAATTACTATATTAGGTAAAAGTGTGATGACTTATTTTACATTCATGGTCTTTTCCTATCCTGATTTTGAATTAAAGAAGCCTGATCTTTTTACTTTTTCGGTGCCTATACTTTAGTCACAACATTTGTTCAAAGAGTAAAAATCAGATGTTAATATAAACTGAGCACTCAGTGGAGGAACTGCCTCAAGGGAAACGGGAAAACACATAGGCCATGAAGCTGAGGAGGAAAAACCTTTTAATGCCAAGTTTAATCTCTTAGATATGCAGGGAAAGTCTTTGAACAACTTCCACACAGCGTTGAAGAATATTCTCCCCACTCCCACTACACTGTCCCAGTAGAAAACGAACCTATTTGCTTATACTTTCCCCGTGTGCCCAGAGCATGGTCAGTGTGCTGAATAAATGTGATACGTACGCTGATATCCTGGAGTTACTATGGGAGTATCTGCCACTCATCTCACTGCCACTCACAACACTGCTAGTTTCAGAGAAGAGGTCAGACTCTTGGCCGTGGGGTACCTCATCAGCTAGAAAAGAAGAACCAGAAGCAGATGAAAACACTGCCTGCTAATGTGTGGGTTTATCTTCAGGGAGGTAAAGTGACTAGAGTCAACTGGGGCATATCAAATGACGGATGAAAATTATTGCCAAGTTGATCTCAAAATGAATGAGATAATATTAAATACAGTGATTACTACTGTAAATCAGTAATTTCCTGAATTTTTTTTTTTATGTTTTTTCTGGAAATGAGGAAACTCATTTTGTAAGATGTGGAAGTGGTCAGCTGCTCTGGTTGAATGGGGTCAGTGGGAATGTCTGGCAGAGCTCTTCCCATACATGCTTGGTCCCGCCCTTCACCAACACACAGACAGACACACAGAGACCTGAAGGGGCTCCATAGAGGCCTCACACTTCCCCATGGCACAGTAATCAGGATGCAGGAGGAACACCAAGCAACTTAGACAATGTGCGGCGTTACCCGGCCCCCAGTCCCCGTATGTGTCGATGGTCTTCATGCAGACACTCACCCAGACCTGCCTGCTGGGCTTGTTCCTTGAGCTCTCGAACTACCAATAAACGTTTCTTGTGGCGACTGAATGTGGCTGTCTGAGAGTCCAGAAATGCCATATAATTTTTCTGGGCTGAGATGCAGAATGAAAAACAGTGTGAGCATAATGTTTAAGCAAAGAGAAAAGACTACAGTTGGGGAGCAGTGAAGGAGGGTTAGAATTCAACAAAAAGAAAGAGGTTACTAAGTTTTTCAAGCAAGCTTTTTTCCTTAATAAGCATTAACAAACTAGAGACTGATAGTCCAGATCATAGAGTTCATCAACATTATCCCAGAATATGCTCTACCACTGAACTGGTAAAATCACCTGAACGAAGACTTGGTATCTCAGTTAACAAAAGTAAGAAGTGTCCATGGATGTGGAATAAATGTATCTAATGATTTCTGAAAAATACTGTCCAATGGAAAAACACACAAGAGAAAACTGACACTAGTAGAATACATTTTAAAAAAGCAAAATACTACTATCCAAGGATGTGTTTTATGAATAGGTTTTGGGCCTATGCAGATGAATTATCAGCATTTTTCTAAGAAAGGTTCTGAATAGTGGTGAAAATCCAAGTAAGAGTTGGTTAGATTATTATAGATGAGGAATGATACTTTTAGTACCCAGTTAGAGGTACATAAAGTGAATGACACAAAAAGCACCCCAGCAACGTTTTAATTGACAGACAAGGTAAGAATGTGCAAACATGTAAATTGTCAGAAAGGCCAGATGTTACTTACAGGGTTAACTTGCATAAACAGGCAGAGCTTAAAATCAAAATCAACCACTCCCTAAGGTTCTGTAAGTCAAACTCATGTCTTTCTTCTACATTTTGCTTTTAAGGGGTCACAGTGACCATCTGAGTATTCTAGAACTGGTAATATTCATATGTTCTCTAAGAACCACAAACTTCATTTGAGAAGGTTATTTTAAAAAAATACTTTGAAAAAGTTGAAACCTACATAAAAGTTGTAATAGTTCAATGAACACACATATACCTTTCACCTAGATTTACCAATTATTAACATTTTGACATATTTTTTGCTTCCTGTTTCTCTGCATGCATGCACACATTATTACTTTTGTGAAACCTTTTGAGAGTAAGGCAGAGATATGATCCTTCATTCCCAAATATGTTAGCATTTATCTCTTAAGAATAATAGGATATTATTTTACATAACCATAACATGATTATTAAATAGCAGAAATTTATCAGTTACATTATTATCTAATATAGCTCATATTCAAGTTTACCAACTATTCCCAAATGCAAAAATTCTTAATCACATTTTATCACAGGTTTCTAACATTCAAATATTTTATTTGTTACCATTTAATAGTAGAGCATATTTAAAAATTCTAGTGAGAATTAAATATTATATCCAGTAGGTAATTTTTATTGAGTCTACATGACATATGATTAAGAAAACATATTAATAGGAAGAGACTCTCTCATCTCTCTCTCCTCCCCTTTTCTATACTTCCAAATGAGGAATTCTATCTAAAATGGAACCCTCACCTTCTAAAATGGAAGGCTTTATGTTGGTTTCTATAATATCCAGTCTGTTATATTTGTATACCTAGAAGGAAAAACATAGTAATTTTAGGCAGGAAAACTTCTAGTCACTGGAGGGTTAAGATACTTAGAAAGACATGGATTACTTTCAGAGGCAATCAATATTTTCCTGAAAAATAGGCCTTCTACAAGGCAGCCAAGGAAGTTCAACTCATTTCAGTAAAAAAACAGTAATATTTCAAATGTGGGGGACTAATTCCAAAACATTATCAAGGATGATAAAAATGGTTTAAAAAATACTGCTTTTCCTTAAGCCAGGAGCCTGACCTATTTCTACTTAATTTTACAAACCTCAGAAGACAAACGATTCCAACTGACCTGGAATCTCTTGCTTGCTCTCTCTGCTTAGCATGCAACATCTGAAGGATTTAAAAGATTCTTACCAGCCTCAAAGCTTCTTCCCAGGCAGCTCCTTCTAATAGCAAGAGCACAGCTTCTTCATAATCCTGACAAAGGAACAGGAAGAAGACAACAGGTGAAGACAGCATGTCAGATGTCATCACAGCCAACTGCAAAACTAACCACAGACCTGCCTCTCTCTCTCCCTGGCCAGAGGAGAACTCCGAGTTCTCAGCATCATGCCTGTCCTAGAGTTCATGTCTCCATAAATACTGATACAAAAGATAAGGTAGGGGTGTAAATTCTGAAAATAATGACAAAACACAAGGTAAGCATCATCTCTCTGCATGCCTGGACATCAAAACCACCAGAAAGATCTGTTAGATACACCCATCTCCCCAGCTTTACTACCAAGTTTGATTCAGCAGGTTTAGGTGGGCTCCAGAATTGTTAACAAGACCACAATTTGAAATAGAGTAGACGAGAATAACAATCTTCTAAATTCTTTTTGTTCTTTTTTCTTCTTTTTTTCTCAGACAGGGTCTTGCTCTGTTGCCTAGGCTGGGGTGCAGTGGCACAAACATAGCTCACTGCAGCCTTGACCTCCTGGCCTCAAGTGATCCCCCTTCCTCAGTCTCCCATGTAGCTTGGAGTACAGGCATATGCCACCACACCCAGCTAATCAAAAAAAATTTTTTTAAAGACAGGGTCTCACTATGCTGTCCATGCTGGTCTTGAACTCCTACCCTCAACCAATTCTTCTGTCTCAACCTACCAAGTAGCTGGATTACAGGCCATTGCTCATTTCAAAAATTGATTTATCTGGCTTTTTGTTGTTGAGTTGTAGGAGTTCCTTACATATTCTCGATATTAAGCCTTTATCAAATATATGATTTGCAAATATCTTCTTCCATTCTATATGTTGTCTTTTCACATTCTTGATAATGTCTTTGATACACAAAAGTTCTTAATTTTTATTAAATCTAATTTATCAATTCATTGATTGTGTTTTTGATGTTAATTCTAACAGTCCATTGCCAAATCCAAAGTGATGATAAAGATTTAACCCTATGTTTTCTTCTAAGAGTTTTATAGTTTCTTTTTTTTGAGACAGGGTCCTGTTCTGTTGCCCAGGCTGAAGCACAGTGGCATTAACTCAGCTCATTGCAGTATCAAACTAATGGGCTCAGGCAATCCTCCCATCTTGGCCTCCCAAGAAGCTGGGACTACAGGTGCACACCACCATTCCTGGCTAATTGTGTTTTTATTTTTTGCAGAAACAAGGTCTTTCTATGCTGCCCACGCTGGTCTCAAACCCCTGGGCTCAAGTGACCCTCCCACCTTGTGATTCAAAGTGCTGGAATCACAAGCATGAACCTCTGTGCCCAGCCTTCAAGAGTTTTCGCTCTTAAATTTTTGCTGTTGATCCATTTTGAGTGGCCAGTAGTTTTTTAAAACTCAGAAAATATTGAATAAAAATCCCTTCCAGCTTCTTTTAAAAAAAAAATAAAAAAAAAAAAGAATAAACATGAAAGACAGGTCTTTAAAAAGCTTCCTTAAACAGTAATTGATCACTTAAAGCGAATGCAATAACAAAGTATTATGGAGTGAATACTCTTGTAAGGTTTTTACACTACATATGAAGTAGTATACTATTATCTGAAGATATGGTCAATTAATGATAGTTATTATACATCCTAGAGCAACCACTAAAATACTGAAATGAAGAAGTATAGCTAATAAGCCTGTAATAGTGGAGGTAAAATGGAATTATGAAAAATACTAAATCCAAAAGAAAGTAACAACAACAAAATACAAGAAACAAAGGATCAATGAAACAAACAGAAAACAGCAAGATAGAAGGTTTAAATCCAACTATATTGGTAATCACATTCAATGCAAATGTCTAAACCCTCCAATTAAAAGGCAGAGATTGTCAAATTAGATTAAAAAGAAAAAAAGAACCAACTAACACTATTAACAAGGAACCTACCTTCAAAATAAGGACTATATTCAGATAGATTAAAAGTAAAAGGTTATAAAAAGATATGCAATGAAAAGACTAACCAAGAGAAAGCTGGAAGGGCTATAGTAGTAATATTAAAGTCGAACTCAGAATTAGAAATAGTAACAGAGAAAGGGATATCAAAATGAATACATCTACGACATACTTAAAAGCATTTACACACCTGTAACAGAGCTTCAAAATACATGAAGCAAACACTGGTAGAATGAAAGGAGAAATTGACAAATAAATTATTGCAGTGGGAGATTTTAACACTTTCCCAGTCATTGACAGAGCAAGTAGTGAGGAAATCAATAAGGACATAAAAAACTAGAAGAGCATGATCAACCTAATCTAACTGACATTTATAGGACACTCCATCCAATAATGGTAGCTTTCATATTCTTTTCAAGTACACACACAACATTCCCTAAAACAGAACATATTATAAATTAAAATATATTATAAATTTAAATTAATAAAAGGTATGCTCTCTAGTCACAACAAAATTAAAGTAGAAATTAATAACAAAAAGATGGCTGGCAAATCTCCAATATCTACAAGTTACATATACTTCTAAATAAGCCAAGGGTCAATAAAGAAATCGCTAGGGAAATTAGAAAATGAAAACCAAACATTTCAAAATTTGTATAATGTAGCTGAAACAATGTTTGAGGAAAATTATGGCATTATATGCTTAAACTAGAAAGTAAGGAATCATCTCAAATCAATGGCTTTAAGCCATCACCTTGGCCAGGCACAGTGCCTTAACGTGTGGAATCTCAGCACTTTGAGAGGCCAAGGCGGAGGAATCACTTGAGGACAGGAGTTTCAGACCAGTGTGGGCAACATAGTGAGACCCCATCTCTACAAAAAAAGAAAAAAATTAAAAATTAGCCAGACATGGTGGCATGCACCTGTAATCCCAACTACTCCAGAAGCTGAGCAGGGAGGATAGCTTGAGCCTAAGAGTTTGAGACTCCAGTGAGCCATGATCGTGCCACTGCACTCCAGCCTGAGCAACAGAGTAGGGCCCTGTTTCTTAAAAAAAAAAAAAAAGAAAAGCCATCACCTTAAAAAACTAGAAAAATAAAGAATAAAGAAAATAGAAAATAATAAAGAAAAATTAATGATATAGAATAGAGAAAAATCATTGAGAAAAACAGTTCATTCTTCAAAAAGATAATAAAACTGACAAACCTCTGGCCAGAATAATGAGAAAAAAAGAAGACACACCAATATCCAGAATGAAAGACAGATGTCACTATAGACCCTATGGACAATAAAAGGATAAGAGAATACTATAAACACGTTATGCCAATAAATCTGACAATTTAGATGAAATGAACAAATTCTTCAAAAGACATAAACTACCAGTGCTCATTCCAGAAGAAACAGATAAACTTGAATAGGCTCATGTCTACTAAAGAAACTGAATTAACAGTGAAAAACTTTCATGAAAGAAAACTCCAGGCCCAGATGGCCTTACTGATATATTCTACTATATATTTAAGGAAGAAAAAAATATCTTCTAAGAGCTGGGAGAAAGAGCGGAGCTGTCAGGTGCTAGAGTAGCTGATCAAAGCAACAAGTCAAAAATGAGTTAGGCCTTTAGGCATTGCATTGGTATAAACAAAAGCGGCTAAAACCAGGGAAAGCATCAACTGTTTCTGTTCCATTCTTTCCCAAGGAACGACTCACTAGTAAAGAGTCAGCTGGATCCACACAGACATGAGGGTTGCTTCACTGTTGAAGAAACTCAGAAAAAAAGGTTTTAGCAGTTTGACAGATCTTGAGGGCATGGATGCAAAAGAAGGGGGTAAGAGTGGAAAAGTACTGGGTAGTGAGTCACAGTGGAAAAAAAAAGTCAAGGTTTTTCCACTCCTTCTTGCATAAGACAGCCTTGGCAGAGGTGCCTGAAGAAGACCTTGGCCCATGGCCTCAGATAAAGAGACCTAGGAATGAAAGAGCCAGGACTCTGAATGCAAATACTGTTATAGGAGCATGACTAACAGGGGGCCCTGAGTCCTTGACCCCAATTCCCTTTAGAAACTGTAATGCATTGGCATTACACCAAGTCTGATGCAAGGAGGGCAGCTTTTCCCCATGTGGCCTCCCAGGTAAAGTCTGTAATTTATGGTCAAGTCTGAAACATCACACATAGGTTTTTAACCATGAGCCAGACTCTCATACCAATTCTACACGAAATCCTCCAGAAAGCAGAAGAGTAAAGAACATCCCCCCTCATTTTATGACAGCAGCATTACCTTGATACCCAAAACATGGCAAAGACATTAAAAAACTACAAACCAATATCCCTCATGAACACAAACCTAAAAATCCTCAAGAAAATTTTAGAAAATCTAATCTACCAGGAGTGAAAAAAGATAATAAATATATTACACCATGTAGGGTTGAACCCAGAGATGCAAGGTTAGTTTCACAACAGAAAATCAATCACCTAATCCACCATATCACTGGTCTAAAAACAAAAAAATCATAATTGAAAATGCACTTGAGAAAATTCAACACTCATTCATGATAAAAACTCTCAGAATAAGGAAGAGAAGGAGATTTCCTCAATCCAAGCGGGCAGGAATTGGCAAATTTTTCCTATAAAAGGTTAGACAGTAAATATTTTAGGCCTTATGGGCCAAACTCTCTCTGTCACAACTCCTTAACTTCGTTATTGTAGTGTAAAAGCAGCCATAGACAAGACGTAAACTAATGGGTATGGCTACGCTACAATAAAACTTTATTTACAAAAATGAGTGGCATGCTGAAGTGGTGGTCACAGGTTGTAGTTTGCCAATCCTGCAATAGAAAACATTAAAAAAAAAAAAAAAAAGACAAATATCTTTTATATTCTACCTCACAAAACTTAAGAGATGCACTGAATTTAGATTTTCAAGTCAAGCCAGCAAGATAGAAGACCTCTTGGCAAACACTATCTCTGGACTTAACAATTATGCACAGTTCTTTAACTTTCATGATCACTAAGACACAACTGAGAAGTCCTTTCTCGCTGATTAGGGGGTTTAAAAGGGAGGAATTGAGTTTACCTGAGCATACTGTTCCAAAACCATGGCTGCATCAATGTGCTTCCTCTGCTCAACCAGCTTTCCTGCAGAGACAATCAGCAGCAGTTGACAATGAAGTTAAACAGATTCTTTGGCTCAAGTGCTTCTTTAATATGTCTTTCTTATGTATGAAAGTATGTACTTTCTGAATTTCCGTGAGGAAAGAGGTATATACACTATGGAGTCCTATGTTAAAGGGCAGCTAGAATCTAAATTTAGCACAGGTATTGAAAATCATATACAGCCAAAATCAGCCTTGAAAGATGCTTCCAAAGCATGTATATGGGAAAATGAGCTGGTATCTCTCACTAACTCAATTTGTCCCTTAACAGTCAGAGACCACTGTTTCTTCGGTTGAGCATTAGATGGAAGTAGCTGACTTATGTCTGGAGTTATGCAGTGTCTCTAGATCCTAGAATCACTCTCAGCCCAATTGAGACAAATCACACTGAGAGGCACAGAGAACCCGAGGCTTACAAAGGGGCTGGCAGATTCTGGTCTCTCACTGCATGCTCACTCCAGGGCATATATCACTTTAAAAAGGAGGTAGAATCACCTCCGCTATTTAAATAATTATGCTATCCTGTTTAAACTGCCTACGTTAAATGTACACACAGAGTGACTCCAGTGTGGAACAGTTCTCAGACATCTTTCACCATTGCCCTCTCCACATACTTTTGCTAAACATCTGAGAAAACTAGAAATACTCTTTTAAAGACATGGGAAATAGCAAGCTAGGAGCTGTAAAGGATATAGGAGAAGATAAGAGATCCCAAGAACACAGAAGGTATAAACAATCAGTAACATGAATTTCTAAAGCAGAAAGGAACAATGGAGACTGAATGAATAATTAAAAGTTTTGAAATAAGGAATTATCAACATTTGTAAAAAGAGGTCAGCTTGGAAACAGAGGGATTTGGGAAGGTCTAATAACCAGAAAAAGCAAAGTAATAATCCCATACATTGTTATAATCCCATACATTGTTATAATCCCAAGAGAAAAAGAATAATGCAAATGACAAAGGAGGACAGGTACATAAATTTAACAAGATAGAGTTTGGAATTTTTTCAGGACTGCTTTTTTTTCTTTGAGACCACAACAATGTTTACAAGTTAGGGAAAACAATATGCCAGTCATTGATTTAATTCAAGCACTGCTGAGAGGACCAGAGCTTCTGCTCACCTCTTTTCATAGGTGCACTTACCCTTTCCTCCACTCTGGTACCAGCCTCATCTCTGTTCAGGCAACCTTGATGCAGCTAAACCGGCTTTAATTTCAGAATGCTTGGACATTTGGCCTTTTTGACCACCTCATTCCTGGCCATTCCAACAACCAACTCTCTATACCAGAAAGGCCCCGCCCCAAAATTCATCTTTACCTTCATACAGGGCACAGCCTATCCAGCTATGTGGTATTATGTGTAGCCAAGATGGAATAGAAGGTGAGAGTTTAACTTCCATCCAGGTCATCTCTAACTTAAAGGTAAATGTTTTACCATGACTCTAATTTCTCCCCACTCTCCTTCCTGAGGATAGATGTGGAGATAACCTAGCTATAACCATCTCCCTAAAAGGTTGCAGAGCCACATAATTGAAGGGCCTGTCAATCCCTTGGGAGAGAGAAATAAACTTCTTTCCATATTGCGCCACTGCACTCTGAGACTCTTGCTGTAGTGGCTTATCCTTTAAAGCATTCTAAATTGATTTTTATCAGTGGTAACAAGACTGTCTCAGGGTATTCTGCCCTAAATTTATTTGCAAAATTACCAAAAAAAAAAAAAAAAAAAGAAATAAAAATTTAAAAACCTTTATAAATGTAGACATCTTAATGCCTGTACTTACCTGCCAGAGTTCTGCCAAGGCCAGCCAGCTGGTCTTCAGTAAAGTTAAGCTGGGCTGCCACACAGAGGGCTTGCTTCCAGTTGCCACACGTCAGAAAGGCTGAGAGCGCTTTCTCGTGGGCACCGCAACGAGCAAACATGAGTCCCGCTGGCTCATACATGTGCTCCTGCATCAGGTGCTCCCCATAAGCAATGCTGATATCCTGGACAAGAGGAGATTTAGGACTGAGGAGGAAACATGATAATCATTTCTCTAAAGCTCCAGTGTAGCTGCCTTAGTTACTACACTTGAAACTCCCTTGAAAGAATTACCTGAGAAAATCTTACAGTTGATCAGTTAGTGCAATCATTTTTCATTCAAAACCTTACTATGTGCCACTTACTCACTCAACAAATAATGACTCATAATTGCATAGGTACCATTCTGGGCAGTATGAATAATATAGCAAGGCAAAAAATAAAACCAAACAAATGAAAAACCTAAGAACCACCACCAAGTTCCTGCTCTTTTAGCAACAGAGGATGGACTTATGGACAAAATACAGTCTACGGCATAATGGCAAAGATGGGTAAAGGGACAGAGGACAGTCTCCTTGCAGCCCTCAGGGAGTGTGAGCTCTGAGGGCTATCAGGAGAATAAACCACATGATGAGATAGGGGACAGTGTTCAGGCAGAGGGCACAGAAGGCACCACGGCTGCGCAGCAGGAGTGTGTATGGCAGGTCTGAGGAGTAACAGGACAGCCAGTGTGACTGGAGCAGACAGAGTGTGGGAGAGAATAGAAAACAAGGGTGAAGAGGCAGCCACTGGCCAAATCCTTGATTCTCCAGGCTGGATGTTAGGTAGAGATGCAGAGAGGAATGCAACATGGAGTCCCTGCCCTTAAGGAGCCCAAAGCCTCATGCAGGAGACAAAGCAGCTAATCAGCAGTTTAACATATGCAATCACCAAGGTGAGGGCAGGCTGCTTTGGGAGCTCAGCATTTGGCACCTGGCCCAGGAATGGCATTCAGGAGTAACCCAAGGGTTCTGATGGACAAGTGGGGCTAAAGGAAGCCTGGTGGGTAGAGAGCTGGCAGAGGAATCATGCAATGTGACATCTGTAGAACTACCTACAAGTAACTGGGAACAGGGACAGTGGCAGAAGCTGGTGCCAAATAAGCTGGTAGAGGCTTGATCACAGAAAGATGTGTACATAGTCTGAGGACAAATTGAAAATGGTGATGCTGGTGGCATGGGAGCGCGGTGGTTAATGGCATGGGCAGGGTGGTCAGGCAGCCTGGGCTCTATGTCCCAGGTCCAGATCCTTAGGCAAGTTGCTTTGTCATCTACGAATTGTGCCCAGCACCGTATCAGGCTGTTAAGAGGATCGTATAACACATTTAGCTGGATCACATAACACATTTAGCCTATAAGTAAAGTATCTGGTATACAAAGAAAGCTAAAGAGTTTTTTTTAAACAAAACTTTCCCTTTATGCTGAAATATAGGGGAAAGATCTGTGCTTGTTAGGATGCTCACTCTTATAGCAGTGAGGTTGGGCTAGAGGAGGGGTGAGAAAAAAGCAGGGAACCCCATGGGGAAGGTGCTGTGGTATTCCAGACGAGGAATCAGAAAACAGGTCAGGACCATTCTCCCAGATAAGAAGTTCAAATTGAGGCTAATTAGTTTTAAGATAACTCTTGAAGCCAAGGATGGCGTTCTGAACTCAGGATCCTCACTCCTTTCCAACTAAAGCAACAAGCAAAACCAGGACAGCCTCATTTCACACACCATATACCTGGTACTGTTGTGAGCTTGGTGAATATAACTTCAGAGCGTCCTTGTACAAGTTTTTATCTTTTATCAAGTTTAAGCATTCTGGGAAGTACTCAGGTCCTGTAGGAATAAGATTCACACAAAGACAGGCTTAAGACCTGGTAAGCATAATGGACTTCATTTACACCAGTGGTCACCAAACAAAATCAATAAGGGACCTTTTTAAGACCTAATAATCAGAGAGTCTGAAGAACAGAATCCGGAATCTAAATTTTTAATGGGCACCACTACAGATTCTGAGGCAAGGGAAGCACTGATTGGGCTCAGCACCCTACTTAAAGAGTCTCAGCTATCCAGCTCAGTGTTTTCTCAGCCTCCTTGAAAAGACCTCACCTGGGAAGCTTATTAGACACATGCACACCTCAGTCCTATCCCAGACCAGCTGAATCAGATTCTCCAAGGACACCAGCAGCTGAATGCTTAACATGCACCCCAGCTGATTCTTCCTTGCCCCCATGCCAGTCCTCAGTAAAGAATCACAACTGCTCCAGCATGGGAAGAACAACTGGCACTCCATCACTGTCAATTAAAACTGTCTTACAGGGCATGGGGAGGTGGCCTCACCGCTCATTCCAGACAAGCAGAGCTTTCCTGACATATATGTAAACAGCACAAGAAGGAAGAACTATCAACCAATTTTGATTCTGAGCGCTGAAGTTAAGTTCGCAGGTCCTCATTCTGAACCAAAAAAGGATCTGCTCGACATTCTTGCCTAGGAAGCTCCTCCAGTTCATTAACAATGATTTTTTTACCTTTGGCTTTTCAGAACACAGGACAAAATAAGGTGAGGGTACATAATTGTTACAGGAGTGGGAAGTGAAATCAGTCACTGTCTAAACTAACAGTTTAATTTATAGCTTGCCTCATTCCAAAGAAGATCTGAAGCAGAAATGAATATACCAATCCCCACACTTACCACATTTGCTGAGGTGGCCAATGGCTTTTTCATATCGTTTCAAGTATTTGTCTATAGTAAACCGCTGATAATTAGTTTCCATTTTCTTAAGTGTATTAAGAAATGGAAGATATTCTTTGGGATCCTAAAAAAATGATTAATGAGAACTTTATTATTTGTGATATATATAAGAATAGAAAATAGCATTTATATATAGCAATAAACCCAAAGCTACATAATTTTTAAATGTGTATTATATATTAACTACATATTATATAATATATAAAATCAAACTACAGTCATCCCCCAGTATCCATGGGGAATTGGTTCCAGGACCCCCCAAGGATACTAAAATCCAAGCATACTCCAGCCCTGTCCTTGACCCCATGGAGCCTGCATACACAAAAAGTTGGCCCACTGTATCTGCAAGTTTCAAATCCTGCAAATACTGTATTTTTGATCCATATTGGTTGTGGATGCAGAACCCGTGGATCCAAAGGGCCAACTGTATTTGAGAGAAATCCACATATAGATACACCCACACAATTCAAACTCACACGGTACAAACTCATATTGTGCAAGGGTCAGCTGAACATCAAACAAGCTTTGGTAAAAATGCTTTCACATGTGGATATTAGGTTACATTTGGAATAATAGTCACTTCCTTCACTAAGTCTCACCCTATCATTTATTTCATAGGCTAATAAGGAAAATAAAGTTTCAGTCTAGAAGATATTCAACAAATGCATCTAAGTTTCTCCTAAAAGTGTAAAGACATTGCTCTTTGGTGCTGTTTTCATGACATTCCATGATCTCCTGAGAAGACCACATTAAAACAAAAATAAAATTATACTGAGTTGGACACAAAACTCTGAGAACCTGCCAACCTAGTATTTATTGGCACTAACATCTCAAGCTCTGTGCCATGCCCTCTAAGCAAACTTTCTTCCTAATGAAGAGGTGCTTCCTGTTTTTAATGCAATTTCCCTGGGCCGACAGGATAAATACATGTAAGAACAAACACAGGAAAAAACTCCAAGACAATAAATAATTAAATGCTCACTCTCAGCACTCTGGGAGGCCGAGGCAGGTGGATCACTTGAGCTCATGAGTTTGAGACCAGTCTGGGAAACATGGCGAAACCCCATCTCGACAAAAAATACAAAACTTAGCCGGGCATGGTGGTGCACACCTGTAAACTCAGGTGGGAGGATTACTTGAGCCCAGGTGGCGTAGGCTGCAGTGAGCCAAGATGGTGCCACTGCACTCCAGCCTGGGTGATAGGGCCAGACCTTGTCTCAAAAATAAATAAATAAATACTGTACTCTAGAAGGAGACACGCTGTAGTCTGCAGGGGTAGGCACTGTGTGCAACAGAAGCATACAGGAGGGTCACCTCGTCCAGTCCCTGAAAGGAAGCCTGAACAGCTTACTGGGAAGGGGCCACCTTGGCATCTTTTCACCTAGATAAGAATCAGGTGAATGGTGAGGGTGGAAGCAGTCATGGGTGGCAGAAGTAATGCTCCCTACCAAGGCATGTGGTGGTTAGTGGTGGTGAAGGGTGAAGGAAGAGGGACAAAAGTGCTGTCTTTCCTCCATGAGCAGAGGAAAAAACAGACAATTCCAAAAAGTGAGAATGGAAAGTTACACAGGAGCCAGGTCAAGGATGGGATTCTAAGCAGTACTATGGCTTCTGAATTTTATCCTAGGAAAAATGGGAACTCATGAAGGATTTTAAGCAGAGAAATGAAGGATTCCATTTTCCTTTTTGGAGAGATCATGGGAAGAGACTGAGGCTGCAGAAAACTAGATAAAAATTACACAGACCAGTGGCGCTCAGAGTTTTTGACCACAGCATATATACCAACACAGGAAAGGAGGCTCTGAGCCTTCTGTGCTCCATGTGCCTACTCTCCACTAGAAAAAAGAGCCACATGAGAAAGAACTGGAGTGGAACATGAATCACTTGTTACGTTTCCTTTATAAGAGAAGAAATTAACTCATATATATGCCCATCATCTTAAAAATAACGATGTCATTTTACTTCACTTCCTCAACCTCACAATCAAAACACTTTTGTAAGCACAGGACTGTGATGGAGAACGAGGCTTAGGAGAGTGGGCCCTGGAAACTCACAGATCTGTCTCCAGCCCTGCACTCACACGGCGGTATCAGAAAAGCCACTGCACTACTGGGAGCAGGGTTTCACACTCTCATGATTATATAAAAAAGGACCAAAATGGCATAAAAGTACGAATTCCACATACCTTCTGTGACTTCTCAGCTACCATGAGGACCAAATCAAAGTCATAGGTGCCAAGAGAATGATCATATAATTCATTAACATCTACCAGAAGCAGCAAATATTTCAGGGCCTCTTCAGCACTCACAGCATCTGGATCAGAGGAAGTATTTCCTAACAGTGTTTAGAAAACAAAATAAAACAAAACCATTTGGTGAAAAAACTCACAGACATGACCAAAAAGACAAAGTAATAAATTTTTCTGAACAGAACTGGACACCAGAAGAATATACACTTTTGATACTTTTATATATGCTTTAGAGGGCAGCACTGAAAAAAAACCGACATGAGTCTTAAAATGGCAGCTAAAAGGTCACATGTTAAATCTGTGGTGTGGCAATGACATGGTAACAGTCACCTGCAGAAGACTAGTGGCAATTACAGCCACTATAAGCACTTTCTCTGTGAGCAAATCTCTACCTTGAAGCTCGTGTACTTTCTGCAGTACAATTTCCAGTTCTGGGGTTGTCTTCTTCACATGAGATGTAAGTATGGATAGGCAGTACCTGAGGTAATAAGTGAAGAATATCAGAATGAGAAAGACGAATAGGCTGGACAAGGACAACTACACACTTCTGTTTTTCATAGGATGCCGCCTGGTGACAGCATACGTACTTATGGGGATTTATGTTCTCCATGGCTGCTCTCATAGCATCACAGACAAGGTCTAGTTTTTTCCCGTCATCCCTGGACAGATGGACGCTGCTGCTAACTGGTGGCGGGTACATGGTCTTTGTGACATCTTCTTCTCTAAGAACAGGTGTGTATGGAAAGGTCACCAACAGAACATGTAGTCCAGCAATCAAATTACTAACATACACCTGGCATGCTGATGATGATAAATAAAAATGACTTTTGGAAAAGAGTTTAATTATAAAAATATTGAGATATAAAACACGTCCACAAAAGACTTATACAAATGTTTGTAGAAGCTTTAGTCACGTTAGTCTCAAACAGGATACAATCCATGTGTCCAGCAACAGGGGAATGAATGAGCAAATCATGGTGCATTCACACATGGCATACTACTGAGCAGTAAAAAAAAGAATGAACTAGTGATACATACAAAAACACAGATCAATCTCAAGACAATATGCTGGATGAAAGCAGCTTTGTGTAGAAGAGTAATACTGTATGATCCCATTTAGATGATGTTCTTGAACAGGCAAAACTGATTTATGGTGAGAAACCCAGAACGGTAGTTGCCTGGGGAATGGGACAGGGACTGACTGAAAAGGAATTTGAAGCAGCTTTCTGAAAAGGAGTAAACGCCCTTTAACTTGATAGAGGTTCAGGTTACATGAAGTATACATTTGCCAAAACACATTACATGGCACACTTAAGATTTGGGCTTTTCACTGTAGATAAATATGACCTGAAAAAATGCAACAAAACCAATCCACACACAAAGAATGCACTCTAGTTAATGATATACAAGAAGAAGTACAGAGGGTCGAGTGATGTCACAACTCGTTTAGAAATTTGTCTGCAAATAAGATGAATGACGGATGGACAGATTATAGAGAATGCGAATGTGTATACAGAAAAATATAAACTGGCAAATCTAGGTGGGGTATATATAGGCTGCTTACTGGACAATTCTCTCAACTTTTCTCCAATTTGAAAATGTTTCATTACAAAGTTGAGAGGAAAGATCATCAGAGAGAAAGATGCCATTTGATTTCAATCTCCTAAGAAAAACAAATAGTTTTATATATATACCTAAAAATCAAGTCAAATAATAACTCTGAATGACATGTTTTAAGGACATAGTTTTATACAGGCTGTTTTAAAAAGAAAGGAAAAGAGCAAAAAAATCAACTGGCATCTAAGAGTTACAGCAATTTTTTAAAATGAACAGTAAGTAATTTTTCCTCTCTAGCTATTTATGTTTGATTTCCTTAATAAGAAGAGAGAAAACTATGGAAATGATAGTCATGAATTATTCAGAATACTTACTTCAATTCTGTAAAAAACAAATTAATATGATTCACAGAATCTATCTGTTTAATGAAGGTTTCCACATTTTCCAGAAACACCTACCAAAAAAGGGGAAAAACATCTTTGTTCAGATCATATTAGTTCAAGTACAAAGTAAGCCAGAGTAAATGCCAGCTTAGAAAGTTACCTTAGGGTTATGGTCGTAAATCAGATTGAGATTGATTCTCAGTTTTCTCATGCATTCAAATGCCTCTTTAAACATAAGTCTGTGAGAAAACAGAAAGAATAGAAAGGGTATTCACAAAAGCTAAGCTCCCCGGGCCCAGCATATTTTCATTACGATACAAACCAGTTATAATCAGATTACAGCCCCAATGCCAAGCTACTACTACTGAATTTCTACTCTGAAATTACAGAATACAAAAATCAGGTGCCACATTCATTTACTTTCATAATAGGTGTGATTTAGTCCTCATGGCTGTCTGAGAACTACATCCTCACATACATACAACAGAAAATCAGTACAGAAGGCCGGGCATGGTGGTTCATGCCTGTAGCACTTTGGGAGGCCGAGGCAGGCAGATCACTTGAGGTCAGAAGTTTGAGACCAGCCTGGCCAACATGGTGAAACCATGTCTCCACTAAAAACAGAAAAAAAATTAGCCAGGCGTGGTGGTACACGCCTGTAATCCTAGCTATGCAGAAGGCTGAGGTGGGAAGATTGCTTGAACCTAGGATGCAGAGATTGCAGTGAGCTGAGATCACGCCAATGCACTCCATCCTGGGTGACAGAGTGAGACTCTGCTGAAAGAAAGAAAGAAAGAGAGAAAAAGAGAAAGAGAGAGAGAAAGACAGAGAGAGAGAGAGAAAGAAAGGAAGAAAGAAACAAAGGAAGGAAGGGAGGAAGGGGGGAAGGGGGGAAGGGAGAGAAGGAGGGAAGGAGGGAGGGAGAGAGGACGAAAATCATCACAGAATTTAGGTCTACTTTTTAAGTAAAACATTAGTATAGATCTTTCTAATACAAAGTTTCCTCCAAATAGGTTCAGAAAATAGTCATTTCCTTCATCAGAGTGGCTCAGGCTTTTTTGGGTCATAGAGTCCCCTGTATATCTGTTGAAGGTGGTTGGCTTTCCACTTGAATAAATACACAAAAACATAGTTTGGTGTGTACAATCTCCCTGGGTTCATAGGCCACCTAAAGCCCAGATGCATTCTCTCAGGTTAAAAGAAGCCCTGCTTTATATGATGAGCGTCATGATTCTTTCTGCTAGGAATCTCCACTACAAAATACTGTATTAAAGTCAAAAGTTAAAGAAAAAAAAATAGCCTCAAAGAATCTGATTAAGGATACAGGTAACGAGGGCTTTTCATATTTTTAAGTTTTCAAAATTGTAATAAAATACTTACTGTCTTTACACGTAAATCACAACAAGCTAATTAGCTGCAAACAGTACAATGCCACTTACCTGTCCAACCACTTCCGTATCTGGGCTAAAACCAGGGCTCGATGATGAACAACTTCCAAGTTCCCCCTTGGCATCTTAAACAAATCAAAGCAATAACATTTTTAATTAAGTAGAAAACGTTTAAATAGCCAGGATACACAATTTTACCTAATCCTTCATAGAGAACTCCCATAACTCTCTAAGATGAGCACAATTTTAGCATAATCTGGTTGTTCTCAATATTTATCTTGACTTTCAAGAAAAGGGTCCCTTTGAGCATTACTGGTTACAGCCTGTATCAACACTCCTTTGAATAAAGGCAACAGAAAGCTATCAAGGAAAGGTTTACAATAAGTGATACAAAGGATAAGAGAGCCTAAAACACGACCTGCAAGAATTATGCTTGGTACTTGGCTGAATGACAATCAGACTATCTATCTTGTCTGAAAAACCAGTTTACCTGTAATATAAGCTTTGTATCCTGGGGCACGACAGTGACAATCCGTGAACCCCTTTCCACTTTCCGAAGAACTTCCCCATTGGACACATGACTGCTGCTCATACTGGCCTGTAATGCTAAACACACCATTAATTAATAAGCCTTAATTATCATGACAAGCCACTCTCCATTAATTGCAATTGAAACCACATATATTATCTGAAATAGAAGAGAACAATTAACAACCACGTTCCCTAGTTCTCCCACTCAACCTCAAGACTACCAGCCCTGCTGATGAACACAGTCACCCCTGAACTTGCCTTCTCTCTTACAGAGCCCTCATGCATATTCACACACACACAACTTCTCAAATGATCTGGAGAAACACAGTAAGAATTGGGGCAACTTCTCTATTTCTTAGCATCATCAGTGTACTATAATCATATCAATGACAGAAAGATTGCCTATTTCCAAGTTAGAAACAAAGAAAATAAGCTGGATTTTTAGAAAAAAGAACACATACCCACAGAGAGAGACAGACTGAGCATGGAACAGAAGACAAAATGCAGCCAATATCCTACAAACCACGAGATGGAGCCCAGATGTACAGTGGAGGGTGGCCACAGTGGGAAAAGATTACCCAGAAGGTAAAATAGTCTGCCAATTTGGGATCTACATAGTAATTCCAAATAAAACACTGGGTAAGTTACATAATAAAATTTCCTGAAAAATGTTTAACTTTAGAATGTACTGCTTAAAGAAGGAACTTGGATGTCTTTACTAAAGTGCAGAATAATTTAACTGAGATATTACATTGAGATTAGGGTCTAAGTAAATGAACTCTAAAGATTTTCTCCAGCTGAGGACTCCTTGATAAAAAGCCAAAGTAGATGAAGAATTCCAAAAGTCATCAAGACTCCAAAAGACATTGGAGGAGGGACTATTTCCATTTTATACACTGAAAACTTACTTTTAAATGAAGCATCCCTCAGGCAAAAACACTGGCAGGTATGGGAATGGGTTGTCAACAACAAAAACTCATCATACACTGCAAATGACGTGGCATTTGATGCAACCTGAAATAAGGCCAGAGAGGCAAGGGTTTAGTTAGCTAGATTACTCAGAGCCAACACTGTGAAAAAAAATCCAATACCAAACCAAGCCTTGATACCTCAATGTCATTGATGAAAAAACGACACCTATCAGTCAGACCAAGGACACACTCCTGCAAAGAAATAAAACTGAAATTAAAAGCAATTCTATTTCAAAACCTAGCTTTTCTATCACACAGCTCTACCACCCTATGACTTCACACCTAAGCTCCTGTATAATCAGGACTAAAGATAGATACCTAAGATGTGGCTGGTCCAGTGCAAAGTGGAATGCGAAGCCATCCAATCCATCAGCAAGCCCTGACATCTCCATCTCCTACATATATCTCAAACCCATCTCCTTTCCCCACTCACTAACTCCACTCAGCAATCTCCGTGTTGATCCCATATTCCACTTAAGTCACTCTCCAACTGACTCTCTTCTGGACAGCCAGAATCACTGTCCACACCATGAAGCAGAACACATTACTCTGTTGATTAAAAATCACAAGAAATTTCTAATCTTTGTTCATTTAAAAAATCCAAATTCCCTCCTATGACTGTCATTGAGCTCCAGCCACACTGCTTCCATTCAGCCCCTTGAATAAGATGAGCTCTCACTGAGCTCAAGGAGTTTGTTGTTCCTTCTCCCTGGAGAGAGCCTTCTTTTTCTTCACCTCTCAGCACACACATCACTGCCTCAGAGAAGCCCTTCTGGACCACCAAATGTGGGATTCCCATCTCAAAGCCACCATCCTCAAACTGCCCCTCAAACATCTCACTGTTCTCTACCAGTTCACCCTGTCCATTTCCATCACACTCCCTATAAAAGGAATCATTATATCAAAATTAATAGATCACAAGTTCCAGAAGAGGAGGAATTAGTCAAGTGGTTTTATTTTCCAACCACTGTATTCTACCAGCCACCACAATTGTAGGCATTCTAATATTTGTTGAATAAAAACCTACTAAAACTATTTTCAAGATCACATTTCTGTTTTCCTCAAAAGATATTTAATAAAATAAACTTTGAATGATTTGTACAACTAGGGATAAAGGTTGCTAATCACATACATTATCTCATTTAGTCTTCTGAACCCTGATAGCTAGATACTGATTTTCCCACTTTACAGATGAAGAAGTTGTGGCTTATGAAAGTGAGATCATTTCCCACTACTGCCTTGACATTTAGAGGAGACTCAACTGCATCTCCAAAGCCCACGCTCTTTCTACCTAACGCCATCAGTCCCTGGGTAACTACTTTAAGTAAGTTTCCTGCTCTGTGTTCACTTACCTCTTCTCCAATCATGGCCAATTCGATCTGAGTGCATGGATAAGGAAACCGAACAGGAAATCCACCAGAGTTCTTCCATGGTTTAACAGACAGAGAAGGTGACTCTGCAAGATTCACAGATCTAGTTTACAAATAGCTGATGTGCTCTTTGTAAAAAACCATCAACATCAATACTTGCTAAAACACCTAACATGCAATTTCCATCACTTTCATCGCTTTTCCTCTTGTAATGAACTGACATACTTAAGAGTATGTCAGTTCATTACAAGAGGAAACAGGAGTAGAATACACCTGCCAATTCCACACTAAAGCATAGGGTTTTCCAAGATAGTTACAAGGTAGTTATTGACAATCAATCTTGGAGTGACAAGATGCAAGTACATATTCTTAAGAACTAAGCATCTATGTAAGTCATAACATGCTTTCCTAACACCTTGATACTCACCCCAAAGGTACTTAAATATCTGGCCATCAGTCAGCTGTAATGCTACTGACTTGGTCTTGGAATTGCAACATAGACTGATTATCACCCCATCCACCGTTGCAGATGAACTGACAAAAAAAAAAAAAAAAAAAGAGGAGGACATGTACACAGACTGTTTTTCTAAAAAATGGTGACATTTCACTGATTTTGAAAACAAACAATTTCCTTTTGGTGCTACACTACCTACTTCAATACAATGTAGACAAAATGCATACATATACACCCAGTACCACACACACACACACACACACACACACACACTCTCTCTCTCTCTCTCTCTCTTTCTCTCACACACACACACTTAGAGACAGATGGATGGTTGGATGAATAGATAAAACTATTCCAAGCCAAATCCCAGATAAAGCCACATTTGCTACATGACACCATTTTCCATAAACCCAATCAGGTAGTTGTTTACATTGTGAAGTCATTGCTCCTCTTCTGGCCACTACTTACTGTAACTTATTATAATATATTGCCTTCATTGGACATGGGTGGTACCAGTGTCATTTCTATCTGCTTAACATAATTAAAGCACTTGGTCTGTAGGAAAATGATCACACTCAATATCTCTATCACTATCATACTGATTTATGGAAAACTGGATTTTCACTAATGAGATGAAGGGAATTTGTTAACGCCATTACATTTTTTCCCTGAGTCAATGGAGAGAAGTAAAATTTCATTCTTTTTTTTTTCAGTGTCTCACTCTGTTGCCCAGGCTGGAATGCAGTGACACGATCACAGCTCACTGCAATCTCAACCTCCTAGGCTCAAGTGATCCTCCCACCTCAGCTTCTCAAGTAGCTTGGACCATAACTATGGAAGCAGAATTTCTTAAAAGAGGAGGAAGATGTAGTGATTAAAAAAAAAAAAAAAGGAGACAAAGAGGTAGTGATAAAAACAAATGATGTTAATGCTAACATTTAATTCAAAGTGTTTAACCAATATACAAAAAAACTAAAAATTACAACAATGGGGAATTCCTCTGCAAATGCCTCCAATTTTGTGAGGATAAACTATCTGTCAAGAAGAGAGCAAACTCTGGAGCTAGACTGGCTGGGATTCGATCCTGGCCCCACCTGCATGATCTCAGGCAAGTTACCTAACTGCTCCATGTCTTAGTTGTCTCATTTGTAAAGGATGGTGCAAATGGCACATACCAAGGTATTATGAGAAATAAATAAGCTAAAACAGAGAAAACATTTGGAAGTGTACTTTTTACAGAGTACAAGCTACAGTAAATGTAAACTACTTAATTGAAGGATTTTGCTGTCCTCAAAAACATTAATATTTTATATGAACAAAACAGTCTTTTTGAGAAATAAAAGTCAAGGCAGTAGAAATATACCGTAAATCTCATTTCCTTTACAGCTAATGAGATGACTGCATCAAGCATTTCCTTCTACAAGCTAATGATAAAGAATTTCAAATCTGAAGAAGTAGAAATTTAGTAAATTGCTCTGCTTTTCAAAAGGTAATCCAGTGGCTTACTTTAAGTGCTGCATATTTCTAGAATATATTCTGCATTTAGACATGTTAACAAAAGTGTTTTTCAAAATATCATGAAGCACTATGAGTCAAAGAGTAGGAGCAAATGACTGCATTAAAATGTTTCTATGTCTATAAATGTATATAATGTACATATATATATGTAAAGGAAAGGTTCCTAATTTTGCAACAATGTTTCTCAGAAGAGAAATCTCACCAGTAGGGCTTTAATTACAAATTAATGTGGAGATTAGTACCAGTGGACAAAGGTGCCAAGTCTTGATACTGGAAACAAGGAGTTCTGGGAACTGGCTAGAAACTGCTATCTACTACATAACAGGGCCTGTATTACAGAAAAGAGCATTCATTAACTGAAACCTGTTACATGATGAAGACATAGTCAGGAAACAAAAGAAAACTCAGGCCCAGAGAACACTGAAATTTCAGCAAAGAAGAATAGAGACTTTATGGTGGCAAATGTAGTCAAGTACAAAATAGGATATCTAGAGGAGGAGGCTAGAAGAAGCATTTTGAAGTCACCACATCTAAACAAAGCATATATATGCAGTTATGTATCATTTAATGATGGGGATATGTCTGAGAAATGTGTTGTTAGGTGACTTTATCATTGTGCAAACATCATAGAGTGTACTTACACAAACCTAGGTGGTATAGCCTACTATGCCCCTAGGCTATGTGGTATGGCTTATTCCTACTAGGCTGTAAACCTGGACAGCATGTTACTTTACAGAATACTACAGGCAACACAATGTCAAGTATCTGGGTATCTAAACATAGAAAAGGTATGCATATATATGTATTTTTATATACACATGCACATACATGCACATGACTGCATTTATACAAAATTTCTTCCCATCACATTAGCTCATGAGAATTGGCCACTCTATGCTTGACAGTTATTAAAAAATCAATTGTAACATATAACAATCACTCTGGAGAAATGTAGGGAGATGCTGAATTAAAATATTTAACATATCTTTAAAATGTTGTTTCATCTATTAATATTTATCCTACTTTTCACAACTTTTTGATATATTTTTGGTCTCTTATTTTGACATCGCTCAAAACTGGATTTAAACCTCTTGTTAAGTGTGTCTAACAAGAAAGCTACTGCTCGTCAACCTTGCTCACTGGAAGTCAAAAAAGTTATAAGCTCATAAAAGACAAAAACCTAACTCCATTTGCTTAACACGTGGAGTACAGGGAAAAACGGCAATACCTGACATTGAGCTGTCCCTGCTCTTCATCCATCTCAGAAGGGCCTACAGTCAAATGGTGAATGACAGACTGGGGGCTGGACTCACTGTGGCTTACAGCCAGAAAGACGTCTTCTTCAATCCAAGTGAGAAGGCCTAGTTTCAGTGGGTTTACGTCTTGATCTTCATTATTCTCAAACTGCATTCTGTTTTAAATATTGAAGAATATCCAAGGCATGAATAAAACTTAAAAACCATTAAGATGCTCCTGAATGAAGGAAGAATGAAGCATCTTGTACACAGTCAACTCCTAATTATTTGGCGGGACAAAACCTGAGATACTACCAAATACCAGAAAATCTAAAATTAATCTTTGTCTGGCTTAAGAATATGTTTTTATATTTTCCTTAAATTTCTCATGCCCTGAAAATCTTTAGATTTGAAGAGGATCTTGACGAAAACTGACTACACAAGAAAATTACCTGCCCTAGTCCCTACACTAATGATCCCCGGAGCTTTTCCACTGCCACGGCTTACCAGCATTCAAAGCAGGCTCTGGCAGGTATGTGATTCTCAGTAGAATGGGTCCTTTCCCAAGCACCTCACATTAAACTGACTGACTAGCTGGAGAGATGGTTTCCATGTCTCCAATGTCTTCCTTTGGTAACCTTTACACACCTGACCAGGGCACTGTTCTTGTCACCTCACATAGAAACCGGTAATAGCTACTTCCTGTCTTTTAGATCAGGTGGCAAATCCGCAGCTCCCACGGATGAAGCTGGTCACTAGCTTCATCTTCGTCCTCAGACATATCTGTCCCGGACTCAGGCTCTCCACTGCATTTGCACAGAGTATCCCATGGAGAATCAGTCCCACCTCTGGTTTTCACTGGCACTTTCTTCTCCACTAGACCCAGTGTTCCCAATTCTTTGCCAGCCTCAAGCCTAGCCCTTCCCCAAGGATTTCAACAAGTATTCATGTCTTTCATGAAATCTTGGCATTATCCTCCTAAAAAATGACTTGGCATTATTCTCATAAATTTTTTTTAAATAAAACTATATTCTAAACTGCCTCATACTTTCTAATTTGTCTTCTATCTCTTCTCTAGTTGTTTCAAGTCTGTGAAATGAAAAAATGCATGTAAATGCTCTTTAAAAACTACTAATCATTATACAGGCAGCCTCCAAATCATATACAGGTTGTACATTTCTGCTGTATTTATTAACTATGTCACACATATTTAAGAAATATTATTAAATTTTGTTATTTGTTGTACTCAGGTAATTATTTCTATTAATCTAACAATAAATGTACCCTGGAGGCAGAGCAGTTTAGTAATGAAGAACATGGACTTACCAAACAGAATAGAATCAAATCCTAGATTCTGTCGTTACCAGGTCCATGACCTTGGGTAAGTTACCTAACCTCTACACTTTGTTTTTTCAATTTAATGCTGGCTGATTCTCTTTCCAGAGGCCCAAGATAATTAAGAACCTACTTGTATCTCTTTTCCAGATGAGGAGTTCTAAGGGAAACTTTAAATCCACTTCCACCCACAGCTCCCAGTTTCACTGTAGGGTCGGCCCTTGGACAATCACCTGAAAAACAAAAATGCAAATACTATCATTGTAAACTATAACATTTCTCCTAGTACTAAGGGGATGGTGTCTGCAATTAATGAGTTCTAGAAGGCAAATAGCAAGCTAAAACATAACCACATCTCAACCTCCTTAAAATACTGCTTTTCCCTTAAGATCACATCAGTCAGAATCCTTCTGATAAAGGCCACATCTTAGCAAGACCAGGTGGAGAGGCTACCCTCTCCGCCCAGTGCTATTGCCTCCATTGTCCTCAGCCACCTCTCAATATCCTCAAATGCTCTGAAGTCCTAAGCACCTACTTAAAAGACATTTTCTTTCTATACTTCATCCAGTTTATTCACTGCACAGCTGCCAATGTAAGCCTTTAAAAAATTCAGCCAGAACACTGCGCTGCTCCGCTCTATGCCCTCTGGTAGCGTCCTATGTCACTCAGAGTAAAAGCTGCCAGGCCCTACAAGAGCTGATTCCTATCACCCCTCTGACCTCACCCAAGACCTTCCCCTCATTTGCTCTTCTGCTGCCACCCTGGCCTCCTGGCTATTTTCTAAACACAACAGGCACTTCTGGGTTGCTTTTTACTCTGCTTGGAACACTCTTTTTTTGTTGTCATTCTTCACCCTCAAGCGTAGAATGCTTGGGATGCTCTTACCCCAGACGTCTGCATGGCTCCCACAGTGATTCTCACCAGATCTCTGCTTAAATGTCACCTTCACAGAGAGGTCTTTGGGATCGTACTCAATAAGAAAGCCACCTTCCCTGTGTAAACCTCTATCTGTAAGCTCTCCCTATCCCTTATTTTGCTTAATTTTTCTCCACAGCACTTGCCATCTGATAGTTTATATTTATTTGATCTTTTGTCTACAGCTGGAATAACAAGTAGTAGACAAAAGTACAACTAGTTTTCTAATACAACAAGCCAAGTACTAGAAAAAAGCCTGCATATAATAAACAATCAAGGAACAATGGGAGGGGGGAAGGGGTGATACTCAGGACACATCAAACACCATCTTTGCAAAATTTGGCAACTAACTCATCTCCACACCATCCAAATGTCTACCACTTGGCTCCAGGTTCTTAATTTCCCTTCAGCTTGGGCACTGAGCCCTGACCTGTTCCAGTCCACCATCTCTTTTTCCAGATTCTCTTACATCCGAACTCTCTTCTCAGGGGTTTTAGTTCATGGATTTGTTATGATCTTTCTCTTCTTTCCGTTTCTATGAACACGGCCCTGGCTCAAGCTCTCACTAGCTCCTGCCTGGACACTTGACAACAGCTTTTCCTAACTGGAATCTCTGCCTCCAGGTACCCCTGAGCTAGGGCCAACCCCACATACTGATGCCAAACCATCTTTCAAAAATGGAGCTCTCAACCTGTCCTATCTCATCACAGGGAGTTTTCTATCAAGTAAAATGAATGCAGGTGGTACAGGGTTTCATTCTGAGGAGATAAAAATGTCCTACAATAGATCGTGGTGATGGCTGCGCAACTCTGTGAATTTAAACATATATATATACACACACACATAGATATATGTATATATATGTATATGTGTGTATATATATATATACGCACATATATATAATACACACACACACACACACACACACACACACATTAACCACTGAATTGTACTCTTTAAATAGATGAATGATATGAAACTTTTTTTTCCCCCCTGAGATAGTCTCACTCTTGTTGCCCAGGCTGGAGTGCAGTGGCTCAATCTTGGCTAACTGCAAACTTCACCTCCTGGGTTCAAGCGATTCTCCTGCCTCAGCCTCCCAGGTAGCTGGGATTACAGGCACCCACCACCATGCCTGCCTAATTTTTGTATTTTTAGTAGAGACGGGGTTTCACCATTTTGGCCTGGCTGGTCTTGAACTCCTGACATCGTGATCCACCCACATCGGCCTCCCAAAGTGCTGGGATTATAGGCATGAGTCACCACACCCGGCCATAAAGCTATTTTTTAAGTGAACACAGAGCAAAACATCCCATACATCATAAAGTGACATATAAACTCATTAGCATCATACAGTTAAGTACCAAAAAGGCTTACTTTACATCTGATTCTTTTTGCCTTGATAATGAACATATTAGTACATTTTTTTAAAGCTATTTTAAAAAGTTTAAGGAGGACTGTAATAGCATTTTACACAGTGAAACTATAATCAGAGAAATTGGTGATAAATCCAGAGGATTCATGTAAACAGTGGGCTGCTGACTTAACAGGAAAGCTGGTATGAAAGTAGGAAATTCCAATTTAAATTAATTAATTTTGATTACTCTCTCTTGGCAACTATCTAGGCTTTTTCTGAGAATTCAAAAGATATTTGAAAACAAGGCAACCACTGCCATATGCCGGTAGAATTTATGACATAACCACAGAACTCACAAATAAAAACAACTTTCAGGTTCCCCAGTACATCAAGAAAGCAATGAGGAACTGAAAGCAATGGGACTGTGGAAGAACTAGAATGCCTGGGTTGAGGTCCTTGTCCATTCTTGTTCAAACAAATTGCAAAACCTCTGACACAGAGTTCCCTCATCTATAATCTCTGACACAGCTCCTAGGAGGGATGAGATCAACTGAAAATATGTGTAAAGGCAATGAAAATAGTAAAACATGTTAACAATGTAATAACATACTATGCTACTTCCAGAGTTCAATGTGATTCTTAAATAACTGACTCTTCAAGTTCAGCAATGGAAAAGGAATGGCTAGTATAAACCAGAGGAGGATTTTAAAAAAAACAAAAAACCCAAGCCAATTAAATATCATAATGATAATGACAGCAACTACAGACTTCACAATTTTGAGAAACACTAGACCTATGGCAACAACAAAGCTATAACTTGCTTTTATGTAGGAGTAGAAGGGACTTGATTCAGAACACCTTAGTAGAAGTTTTTTAACATACCACATTTATAAACAGAAATCTGGTTACTGGCATCTAGAACAGCAAGGTCATTACTCTTTTGAGGGTGTGCAGAGAATGTGACTTGATTCACAGGGTGTGGGAACAGCAGTTGGTAGCTGCACATGGGAGGCGGAACCACAGTCTGCCGGAAGACTGTCACCAATACCCTGTCTGCAGTGAAAAAGAAAGAGGAGGATTAGACACAAGGATATTCAGTTTGAAAGATAAGCCATCTGAACATCACAGTATATCTAAATAGTAATGGCAATTCACAAAAAATAACTTTCAGTGTTTTTCTCCTAAGTTTAAAAACAGTGTGGAGTGGGGAAATGTCATGGGTTCTGTCTATACTCAGCCACTGTCACTGCCAGGCCTAGAGTAGTCCTCTCAGAACTTGGAGTTTCAGGTGCCAGGGACTAAGGCAAAAAGGCTGAGGGTCAGAGCTCTAGCTTTAAACCTGGGGCTGCAACCAAGCCACAGTAAACCAAAGGAATTAATACCTTCAAATTCCTTAAAGCACGTTCTTATGTGTGGATTTTGTAATAAGGCAGATCTGATTAAGCTCTCTATATAGAATACATGCATATAAAATCAGTATTATATAGAGCATTACACAGAATATGAATTAGTATACCACCACACATTACAATCTTAGAAGCAAGTGTTCCCTTTTATTATCAGCAATGAAACTGCTCATTAAGGTGACTACTTCTCTCCTCAATCTTGCCGCCCCATCCCACCCCCTAAAAAACCTTATACCTAATTATAAAATATCAACCTAATCTTCGTATTAGACAAACATCTATGACATGTACTGAACATACTGGAGAGGTATATAATTGGCAAGCATTTATATCAGGAAACAAAGCAACATAAGGGGGTGGTACAAGGATCAATTATAAATCTGTGTCAGGGTAAACAGGTAAGGCTAACACACCCAAATCCCACAAGACTCTACTGTTGTCGTCCTCTCTACCTAGAGTCAAAGTTTTCAGTGTCTTCAAAGGCCAGACAAGTAGCCGGGCGCGGTGGCTCACGCCTGTAATCCCAGCACTTTGGGAGGCCGAGGCGGGTGGATCACGAGGTCAAGAGATCGAGACCATCCTGGTCAACATAGTGAAACCCCGTCTCTACTAAAAATACAAAAAATCAGCTGGGCATGGTGGCGCATGCCTGTAATCCCAGCTACTCAGGAGGCTGAGGCAGGAGAATTGCCTGAACCCAGGAGGCGGAGGTTGCGGTGAGCCGAGATCGCGCCATTACACTCCAGCCTGGGCAACAAGAGCGAAACTCCGTCTAAAAAAAAAAAAAAAAAAGGCCAGACAAGTAAATGTGTGAAGGCCACAAATGTTGTATAACAGGAACTGCCATGGGGAGGAGGGTTGATGGTTCTCAGAAGAGAATATACCCCACCTTATATCCCATTCAATTAAAAAATAAAACAAGTAACCCAAACAGCCAAAACAAATAAAGATTCCCTGCTGTTCCAGTCAAACCACCACATCTGCAGCCCCGAGGCTAGGACCCCTTGCAGGCTCATGGACACAGTTTCCAGCAACTTACTTCCATCAATGACAGCCACATTGGACAAGTCACTTGAATTATCTCCTGAGCTCCGGTCAGTTGTCCAGTGCCAATCATAGCAGAGGTAATGCCAGCCCTGACAGAGAACATGAAGCCGGTACGGGGTCACAGGGTCCCATATCAAAGATACAATTTTGCTCTTTGCACAGGTGCTGAAGGATAAACTTTGCTTGAGATACCAGTGATAGTTTCCAACAGTCCAGAGCTGAACTGCAGGGGAAAAGAAAAAGAAGGCCATTAGAGGCTGGGAAGCAGACTTCACATCAATTGCCAGAGGGAGACAAGGGCAATCTTTCCTTTTTCAAAGGATCCTTCCTGCTCAGCCTCTTCTCTAAACTAAGAAAAATAATAATTGCCAAAAAAACAGCTTTCCATGCAGATAAAATGTCAAGAATCAATAAAGTTAGAAATACATGGTTTTTTTGTTTTTTTTTTACGATTTTTAACTTTTATTCATATGTTTATTTTTAACTTTACTTCCAAACAATGATCATGACGGAAGGCTAGTAGGACAAAGCATTGTTTTAGCTGGTTTTCTCATGAAGATTTAGGAAGAAGATAATTTGGCAATTAGATTAAAAGTATTAAAACACTCAATCCAAGATCCAGACTAGCATCATTGTGTTGTATTGGGCTTAAGTTGCTTATTTTCTTTCAGGTGCTTTGCATGCACTTATGTCCAAGGCTATCTGTGTATTAACTCTGATTCAGCTGCCCAAAGAAGATAAGCATGCAATTATCCTTCCAACATCTACTGAGAGCAAGACCTAATCATGCCAAAACCAACCTTTACTAAACAGATGACACATAAAAATTAAGACCTTAGTTACATTAGGACTAATAGTTTTATTAAGAAATATCAGTTATATGAAGGAATTTATTTTCTCAATCTCCTTGCTCACTAATGCTTAACTTAGTGATCACAGCAAATATAACCTAGTCTTTAACCATATTATTACAACACTTCAAAGTTAGACCACATGCTGATGTTCTGCAGGACAGACGTTGTGGCTGTTCTTCTGCAATGTGTGCGTGCGTGCGTGTGTGTGTGTGTGTGTGTGTGTGTGTATACATATGTTTTTGAGACAG